TCAGCAAGGGAAAGATTGCTTCCCGCTGCCTTCTGCCAAAAAGCAACTGCTTCAATAATAGCGATTGAAAGCAAGAGGTATTTCCTTCTCTCCAGGTTTGTTGCTGGCATTTTCTGTGCTTGGCTGGGTTTCCATCATATCCAGATGCTCCTGCCTGGCCATGACTGTGGGGATGGGAACCTCACTGACGGACATTACTGAATTTGATTTTGCTGAGAAAGCCCTGTTTCCTTGAAGCACGAGAAGGCACGTATGCAGAAGATAACGGAGGAAGGAATGTGCTGCTCTAAGGAGAAAACAAGATAAGGGCCATGAAGGCATTTCGCGTGATCAGGGAAAACGGGCCAATCCGCTAGAACATAGATGTGCATGGACACAAGGCTATAACCTATCTGCAAGCTGCAGATAGCGCATGAACACCTCTGCTTGCTATAAAAAGTGTTAACAAAGAGCAATAAAGGTCTTTGGTTGCTGCCTGCCGGAGTCCGTACCGTTAATCCCCACACATGACAACACTTCCCTTCCATAAGACAAGGGGAGATCAGGAAAGTGAAGGGAGACATTAATTTTTCTGCTTTCTCCCATCTGGTACAATTAAGTACTTGAGAGAAAGATAAAGCAGAGGTTATATATTCTTGATCCTGGGCAAATTACATAAATCTATGCACTGGTTCCCAACTTGCTAGCATGCAGTGTTATTGCTGTGCTACTGTTACATGGTTATATCGTTAAGGTCCATGACAAAATCTAATCATTCCCCTCGCTTATTTTATGCGTGACTTATGCGTGATGCTTCCTGTGTTTGTACAGATTCCAGATGTTACAGAATAGACACAGATAAAATTAAACAGCTGATAGTCAGCCAGCCATCATTCTGTCATACTTTTAGGTAATTAACGTGTATATGTTGATAGATTTAAATACTCCCCAGAAGCCTTTGTATTAAATTTCATTTGGGACTGAAAATGGAGAATCTCCAAAATGTCAGCTTAGCTGTTTATATTGCCAAGTTAGGCAAAAGAAGGTATGTGTAACTGTTGAGGCTTTTGACGGAGCTCTGGTTCGTCTAACACTTGTCTGCTCTGCGCTTGCTGTCTTCTGCAGCCAGGGACCTCGTGGGTGACCACAGGAGAGGGGCCGTGTGAGAGCACTGTTGTGGTGCACAGCCAGACACCACGTATATCACAGGTATTGGTCACTACAGATGGAAAACGTCAGATTTCCCAGTTATTTCACCATGCAGACCTTTCTATTTCTGCAGCTTCCTGAAGCTTTACTCATTTCAGTCTAAATGCACTTTTTCAGTTTTCTAGTGATTTTGTGCTACTTTTGTTTTCCAATTATATGAGAAAGAAACAATTTCTTCCAGCCAATGAAGTAATGAGAAAGAAAAGTGATTTTCAGTCCATCTCACTTTTACTAACTTTAATATTTTCCCCTACACAAAGAGTGCTCTGGCAAGCCCACTGGCGGGAGCTCTGTGATCATGCAGCTGTGCAGAACCTGAATCGGCGAGCGGGAGACCTGCTAGTGGGCGCAGGAATCACTCAGTTAATGGGGGAGGACCCTATCAATACACCGCAACTGCAGGCACGGCTCACGCCTGAAATTTTGAGACAATCAGCAGACCTTGCGTTTCAAGCAATGTTAAAGGTCCCTGATACAGGACAACCGGTGAAATCTTTTACTAACATTAAGCAAGGGAGCAACGAATCTTACATGGATTTTATCGACAAGCTCCAAGAAGCCATTCAAAAATAAGTACAAAATGCTGAAGCCAAAGAGGCGTTGCTTATGAAATTGGCTGTAGAAAATGCCAATGAGGACTGTAAAAGAGTCTTGCAGACATTGCAAAACCCGACCATAGTAGACATGCTTGACGCGTGCAACCGTGTGGGTTCAATTACACATAAGAATGAGGTTTTTGCAGCCTGTTTAGC